AATGTCAGCATCATTATTACATACTTTCAATGTTATAAAATAAGTGCATTAAAATATAATATTTACAAACACTTCCATAATCGTTCCCACATCCATACTCACTTTCATAACACCAACAAAAGCGTTCAACAATGTCAAAAAATAAAAGTAAAGGTTAAGACCCATCAGAAAGACACTGGTTTCAAGCAATGAAAAAATAAATCACCTAAAACTGATCCAGTGCTCAGAGGTTAGGCTGCTGCCGTACACTAACTGTTGCCATAACAACACAGCATTGTTCACTTGTGAATGTGGGCACTTCACTGTGCTCAGAATGAAAATGGGGAAGGAGTGTCATTTTAGGTAAAAGCTACTCTAAATTCACATTAAAACTGGGCAAACAGCCTCATCTATTAGCAAAACCAAATTCCCTGTAGGTGAATTCATTTTATACTTGCAAAATGCTCACAATTTTTAGTATATTTATACAAGACGTTCTCTTAAAATATTTCCCTGTTACAACATGTAACTACTTCTGTAAATGTTTTTGTAAATGTGCAATGTTAGGCGGCTGTGGATATGCACGTTTTATCTTAAGGTGACATTTGGAGTGGTTTTTATGAACGTTTTACATTATGTGTTCAGGTAGACCACTAAAAAAGACATCACAATTGCAGGCTTTGTGGGACCTTTCAGAATGACTCATCTGCCTGTGGGTGTCATTTATTGGAAGGGGAAGAGTAAACCGTCAAAAATAATATCGATTTACAACAAGTGGCTTGAGGAAAAAAGAAATCAAGGATTCTGTTATTCATATTTTGAGCGGAATGAGGAATGCAGATGGAAAGAGAGCAATAGTCTGTAGAAACAAAGTGTATAGTTGGAGAAAGCCTTACATGTTTAGGGGGGCACTAATATAACAAGTTTTTCACAGAACAAGACATGACAAGCACTGCAAAATGTGCACACTAAATGTAAAAGCCTGCATTTGTTTCTGAAGACTAGCAGGAAGAGTCTTATTCAAATTGATTTTTTAATTCATCCTCGGGAAAGATGCTATGAGAAAATTACTCTTCTTTTTTTTTTTGCACAATTCTCATCTTAAATGAAAGCAATACATTAATCACATGCAGATTTGGGTACGTGACACGTCTACAAAGGAGTCCATGAGAGCAAAGAACATTAAATTCTGGTCAAAACAAAAGAAACATAAAATAGGGAAATATGACAAAAGACCAGGAAGGCCTGTCCAAATACACAGAGTAACTGTGCTCCCTATCCTGAAGTAAACAGACACTGAACCACAGGTCACTAAATACCCCATCTAAACATGCACCCCATGACCTTATCTTAACTTATTCTTACAGAATACAAGGCAGGAGTGTTACATAATAATTCAATAAAATGAACTGGTTGCATTTGTATCTTGTCTAGAGTACAAATTATGTTTTTATAACACTGGTTATACAAACTAAATACAATTAGTTTGTAAATATGGGTAAAATAAGGCCAGTCACACTCATTTATATTCATACTCCAATCATCATAATAGATAACTTAAAATAAAAGTGATTAGACGGACTTAGCATTTAAATCTTGTGACTGAAATATGTCCTGAGAGCCTTATTCTTGATAAACTCCCTCCATATCGAATTATGAAACAGAACAACATATTTTTGGAGTAATTAGGGTTGTGGCCTTGAAGTGAATTACAAAGATGAGATTTAAACCAAAACCTCCACTAATTCAAAGATGGAGAGAAACCTATGGAAACCTAACAGATGGAGAAAGCAAAACATGAGGTTAGAAACCAATCTTTTAGTTTGAAATTGATGATGACTATATTTATTATTATTTTTTAATTAATGAGCTTTAACAGTGATGTATAATTATTTAAAGTGGTTTCAAAAAATAATATAAAACGGTTTACAGATGTATTTTGTTTTATAAAAAAAATGTATGTTGTGTAATTTGTTCCATTTTAATTTGCATGTTAGAATTATATTAGATTGTCTTGTTTTAATGTAAAATAAGATTAAAAAATGTAAATAGATTTGACAGTGTAATCCGTGGTCAACTTAAATATACTTTAATACTGATACAAGCAGACATTATGGTTACCATGGTAACCATCGTACCTTTAGTTACCATAGATATGTATATGCCAAAGTAGCATACTACTAAAGGTGCATCTCAATAAATTAGAATGTCGTGGAAAAGTTCTTATTTAATACACGAGTTTCACAATTTGAGTTGAATTACTGAAATAAATGATCTTTTCCACAACATTCTAATTTATTGAGATGCACCTGTATTGTTACGGTGGAAACCACATCACAAATTAAATTTAAAAAATTGTGATTCTGTAAGTTTCTTACACTGTTTGGAAGAGATACCATTATAATTTATGAGGATTCAGATTTAACAATAAGTAGTAATCTTGTAAATTTGCCGGTTACCATGGTAAACCTTTATAAGGGCAACCCTAGCAAGATCGTATTTCTGCCGTTTCCAGCGTCATTTGTTTACAGTACAAACCACCCTAGGAAAATGAAAGACCTTAAAGATTTTGTTTTAAAGATTAAAATGACTGACCAACTGGAAACAGGCCAATTGTAGACAATATACAATAATTTAACTCAAACTACATTACTATTAGTTTAAAAAAACGATGACATCAGATGTGAAGATTGAGCGACAATTTTACAAACAAATGAAATGTGCACTAAAAATACGATAAAACATGAATAACTGATGTATAAATGTCATCTTACTGACATGAAATATCACGAGGGAGATTCTGGCTATCATTCACGATATTTGTAACGTAAGTTATTTGAAACAATAAAAGAAACTTTGTAACAGTGACATCCTAAAGACGCTTCGGTGTTACTTTCTGTGAGCTAAGTCAAACATCTTAACGATGCCGCATAACGCCAAACGTGACAAAAAAACAAGGTGAAACTAAAGTTTATGGCCTAACCTAAGTTCCGCGGAGGTTCAACGCCCTTCGCTCCTTGTGTCATGAAAGTACCTGAGGCAGGTGTCGCTCCCAGCCGCAGGTGAAACGAACGTCCTCAGGATCCTTTCATTCGCTTAAGAAAGGAAAAGCTGTATGAATACTATAACTCCAGTCCCACTCTCTCTGCTTCGAAACTTTGTGGGCTTAAACAGAGACAGGAACTTTGTTCAAAATCAAGTCGAGTGCTACTCCTCATTTGTAAAGTGTTGAGTAGGACGCTTGGTCCTAAAGCGAGTCGAATTTCATAGAGAAATAAAACAGCTGACCGTGGTCCTACAAGCCGGAAAAAAGGGTTTCCTTGGGAATTACCTAGAGGTTTTTACAATAGCAGTTTCGATGTGTGCGTGTGTGTGTGTAGGCTATAGGAAGTCACTTATGCTCACCAAGGATAAATTATTTCGATAAAAATTAAATATAAACAGTATTATTGTGAAGTACAGTATTCTTACAATTAAAAATGTTATTTTAATGTCATTTATTCATGTGATGGCAAAGCAGCCATTACTCCGGTCTTCAGTGTCATACATGATTTTATCAATATTAAAGTTTCTGTGCTGCTTAATATTTTTGCGAAAACGTTAATAATTGTTCAGGATCCTTTGAGGAACAGAAAGTTCATAAGAACAACATTTATTTGAAATAGAAATCTTTTGTAATATAAATGCTTTTACTGTCATGCTTGATCATCTAATCATTTAATGCATCCAAGTATTCATTTTTTATAATTAATTAAAATTAAGTATTAATTTCTTAAAATCTTACTGACCCCAAACTTATGAACAACAGTGTATAATATATAAAACTAAACCAATAAACAAACAGAAAACCAACACTCAAATACATGTATGTAGAGTTTTATTTTTTTATACAGATTATTGTCAATGACACATGGTATGTATCTATGTACAAATGTTTCTCAAAAGTACAGTTTCATTAATGCCACAAGATACAGTGATATCAAAATGATTAGTGATTGCAAAACACACCGTAACTGTCTTGAGCTGTGCATCCCCTAGCGCTGGTATACTGTGCAACTGACATCACATTGTCTATCAATAGACAATCTGAGTCAAACCCAGCAGGAAATCTGTGATTCATAGTTGCAATTCCTGACCAGATCTTAAACAAGATCTGAAAATAAGATATTAATCGAATCGTGTTATCTAACCTGCTGTGTGGACCCAATGACAGAGGCTGTTTGCATAAAAGGCCAATGCTGTTGCACACTGAGCTGCAGAACTTGTTTTGCTCTCATTGCCCTGTGGCTTCATGTGGAAAAACACAGCTGTAGAGTATGCCATGCATGTGCTGCATTGGCTTGTAGAATGTATACTGCATTTTACCTTTCCATACATTCTTCTGGGAACCCTGCATGTGACAGAAAATGATCCTCTGACTCCTTAAAGAGAGGATTAAAGGCTTTCCAACCAGATCACGCTTTCATTTCCTTATTGTGCAATGCATTTATATACATATATATTCCATTGAACTAACTGAACTGCATGCATGGTAAGACAGAGATGTTAAAAATCACAAACAGGGAATACAGTGGGTACGGAAAGTATAACGTTTACCATCCAACCTGACAGAACTGGAGAGGATCTGCAAGGAGGAATGGCAGAGGATCCCCAAATCCAGGTGTGAAAAACTTGTTGCATCTTTCCCAAAAAGACTCATGGCTGTATTAGATCAAAAGGGTGCTTCTACTAAATACTGAGCAAAGGGTCTGAATACTTAGGACCATGTGATATTTCAGTTTTTCTTTTTTAACAAATCTGCAAAAATGTCAACGATTCTGTGTTTTTCTGTCAATATGGGGTGCTGTGTGTACATTAATGAGGAAAAAAAATGAACTTAAATGATTTTAGCAAATGGCTGCAATATAACAAAGAGTGAAAAATTGAAGGGGGTCTGAATACTTTCCGTACCCACTGTAAAAGAATAAAAAATTGTTTTTTTATTTCTCTCCCCTAAAGTTTTTTTTTTTAATGTGGGAAAACTCATTTCAATTAAACTGGAGTGATCCTTATGAGACTAATCTATTATCCACACTACTTTGCTACTAAAGTAGTGGTTGCTTTTAATTTTATATGCAAATGAGGTTTGTGAAAACACAAACATCTTAGCAGATGGCAACAGATGTATTAAAACAAAGAAAAGACTTCACTGAGGCATTCAATTGTTTTCACAATATATTCACAGCTCTATTCCTCATTCCAGCATTTTCTGTAACCTTAAACAAGCACAGTGTTGTGATGACCTTGATACAGGGAATGGACATCTGGACATGTGGTATTGATTTTTAGCTGCATACCTACAGTTCTGACTGAAATTTACAGGAATCAGGACAAGTTCATCTATGTATTATGTTAGTAACTAAATATTTGGTTTTTAATGCAGCATGTCTATAACATTTCTAATTAAGTGCCAATACAAAATTCTCGAAAGTGCAAATGGTCAATTCTCAAACCCTTTTACAAATAACTGAGCTCATTTGGTCCATTTAGAGGTTAGGGGAGATTCATCCTTCCTAAATCTTCCGAGGCAAACACAAACCATTGCCCTCAGACATTAGTGATCTCTATGCTTGAGTAACCGTGCATGGGACTGCCCTTGGTTCTCTGCAGGATCTTGATGCGATCTTCTCTGGGTGGTGATCCACAGCCGCCTTGAAAAGTCAAGTCTCTCCCAACAGTGACCAGTGGATTGAATCTCAAAGGGCTCTGTGGAATGACAGAAATATTATTTAATCATTTTACAGATCATTAACAATAACATGCAGGTGCACAGACAAAGTTGTGTCAACAACAGGACAGCCCATACCTTGCCAACTTTTTGCCTGGGAGAGAATCCTTCCTCAGTTTTGTGGCAGTTTGAGACAGGAGAATGTGTAGGAGTCCCCTCTTTCCTGTAGTCCTGAGCCTGGTTAGTTCTGTAAGACAGAAATACTGCTCAGTCACACTCGTAAAGTCAATACAGTTACTGTTATTCTACAGAGATTATTAATCACCAAATAAATAAATACAGGTAAATGAAATGCTGATTTGAGTTGAAGTTTAGTAATGCATATTAAATATAAAAAATTATAAAATATAAATGAAATTAAATGTATATTATATATTAATCAATATATGTTAAAAAGTAATTTAGAGAGATTTAAGGCATTTAGTTTTTTCATATTTATTTATTAAAATTACATTTTCACATTTCATTTTAAAATGCCACAAAACTTTAAAGGGGTCATATGACGTTGCTAAAAAAGAACATTATTTTGTGTATTTGGTGTAATGCAATGTGTTTATGCGGTTTAAGATTCAAAAAACACATTATTTTCCACATACTGTACATTATTGTTTCTGCTCTATGTCCCGCCTTTCTGAAACATGTCGATTTTTACAAAGCTCATCAGTCTGAAAAGCGAGGTGTGCTGTGATTGGCCAGCTATCCAGTGCGTTGTGATTGACCGAATACCCGGTGTTATGCAAATCTTCCCACACAGTGACATAGACATGTGGGGGCGTGTTTAAACGAGGCGTTTTAGGAGGGCGTGGACAAGTTTTAACTTTTATAAAGAATATCTCTTTGGGTTTGAGACTTTAGTATTTGCAACTTTAGGGATCTTATCTATTCACGAACAGCTTGTAACACTCCAAAGAGATAGGAAAACTTGAAATCGCATCATATGACCCCTTTAACAAATCTACATAAGCGTAAATAAAACCTACCAATAATTAAAATATTATTACACAAAAATCCAACCTCTTTGTTTTGCATAAAAATACCAAACTTAAAAATGTGATATTCAAAAGCAAACGTTCTTTGTAACTAACCGCTCATATTATTTTATTTTGTGTCCCAAAGGTGCTTAAAAATATTACATACTGTAGAAAAGATGTTCTTGGTTCAATATCTATTTGACAAAGCGTAGCGTACAAACACGAGTGATGTGAAAGTAGCGCCGGCTTTTTTTGGAGGAGCGGACTGATATTCACAGACGACCGCTGGGCGGTGCTATTGACCAATCAGAATCGAGCATTTCGAAGTGCCGCGTAAATTGCTCTTTGAAGTTTGAAATGAGTGGTATAACGACAAATAATTTTAAAAGTGTTTTAAGGTTGACGACTAGTGCTCTAATAACTATCATTTGCAATGCAGCTTTTTAAATATACTGCTGAACTTTGTACAAACACGAGAGATGTGAAATTACAAACACGAGACATTGCAACGCTGTATATCAGTCCGCTCTAATAACTATCATTTGCAATGCAGCTTTTTAAATATACTGCTGAACTTTGTACAAACACGAGAGATGTGAAATTACAAACACGAGACATTGCAACGCTGTATATCAGTCCGCTCATCCGAAAAAGACCGCTTTTTCGGATGAGCGGACTGATATACAGCGTTGCCAAGGATGACAGCGATCGCTGGATGGCACGATTGGCCAATCAGAATCGAGTATCCTGGAGTGCCTGGAGGAGTTTAAAGGCTACTTTGATGGTTGACGACTACTAGTGCTCTAACTAGGCTATTACTTGCAGTTTAGATTGTCATATACTGCGGGACTATAAAATACTTATGACTCGACTGAAATGAAGCTTCACACACCTTGCTGGATTGAGAAGCACTTTCATTTCCTCGTATAGATGACGATGGATCATGTGTTTATTGCTGGGGATGTCTAGAGCCTTGGCCATGGTGTCAGCGCTGAAGGTCGGATCTAGAACCATCACTGCACCATGGATGCCGCTGTTCTGAAGGCTGTCAGCATATTCCTGCATTAAAAGACAACATTCAACAGGTTGGGCATTTTATCAGATATGTTTATGACATTTATATACTGAATATGAGAACAATGAATATTCCACATACACTGCTGTTGAAAAGTTTTTTTTTCTTTTTCTTTTTTTTAACACAC